TCAAACGGGCAGTGGTTCACGATAATAGTGGTATTCTGGATGACAGCTTTATCTTATTTCAAATTTTCAATTTTTCACCAAACTGATGTAAATTTTCTCGCATAATTCGAAAATATTTTAGCAAAACCTGCATTTCGATCCGAGGAATCCATACACATGTTCTCCGCTGTACGCCGAGGCAATGCTCCAAAAGGGACATCTTGTCATGCGAATGTTAAGTCGACGTTTGGGCAAAGAACAATTCATGCAGGTTTGGCATTTCAGAAGTTTTTAAAAATCATATAAAATTTTAAAAAACCGTCCTTAAGAGCCAGAAACTTTTTTCGTTTTCTTTTCTAGAATTAGGATTTGAGAGATTTGTTGATTGTCTTTATACCTGGCGCAGCTTTTAATTCAGAATCTATCACTACATGCGCATTTAGCAAATTTTCCGTATTTCTTATGCTTTCCGCATCCATACCACCCCATATAATTATGTTAATCGATCCGCTCAGCATGCCGATGGCTTTTCCCTATCGTTCCTTGGACACATTGTAGTTCCAGTCAGCTGTCTATTTTGGCAGTTTTGCAAAAATTTCCTTTTTTATTATCTTTTACACCAGAAATGGCCGTAGCTCATGCCAACTATGAGTTACATTTTGCTGAGACCCAAAATTCGTCACCCCGTTATTCCTCACGCCACTGTTTTTCTTTCTTGTGCGAGAATTTTGCAAAAAAATATTACTTCTCTTTTAGGTTATCCAGAAAATATTGAGCGTTGTGATGCAAGCAAGCCATATGAACAAGGATCCGATACATTGGCAACATATGATGGTCTCTACGGAATCATTCTTCCGCACAGTGTTGAATGTCACCGGTCAAGAATTGCCTACATTTCTGGAACAATGGATATACGGCGGTGGTCATGCAAAATTTTTTGTGAGTATACCCGTAACACGAACGAGAGAGCTTGTTTTGTAGTGTTCCTGAAAGCTGGTAATAGCACCTACTATTTACTGGTCTGTGTTCATTAAGCAAATTTGATAACTATATCGATAGTGTAGTAGTTTAGCACAGCAGTAAATTACAAGTAATGGATAAACTGAGTTCTTCTATCTGCCCCAATCCGTTCCCTTTGTTAGGAACTGCAAGGAACAAAGCAAGAGAAAGGATTTCGTTCTCGAAAGAAATTCCGGATTCTCTGTACGTGTTGAGTTTCTCGAATAAGTTTTTTGGAATTTGCTTAACTTTTTCGAGTTAATTTATCCTCAGTTAAATTATTTGAGCTTTTTGAAAAAAGGAGGCTTTTTTTAGATACACTACTTCTTCAATCGGAAACGGAATGTGGTTGAACTTGAAGTAAGCCAGGATCCGTCACTGAAAGGACAACAGAGGTGCGTACGTGCTTTTTGATTGTTACTTCTTTTACTTATTACAGTTCAGTAGTATTAATAATCCCAGTAACATCACTAACACGAAATACCGGGTCTGGTTGACCAGAAGGGGTTTTTTTTTTTCATTACCGCAAAAAAGGGAAAGGGGCGCGTGAAAACACCTCGGGCGATAGCAATTTTTAGCAGTAAATAGTTTATAATTTTTAATAAGACATAATTTTTGCATTTTTATTTATGCCGTTTCATAATGCATAAATTTCAGTTATGTTGGTCCGGTTACAGTTGTTGTGCAGGAATTGGATGGATCATTCACACATACAATTCAGATTGATGCGGATAACTCGAAGCACGATCTGCAGTGCCATTCCAAAGCAGTTATTTTTTTCTTATGCTAATCAAGTTAAAACTTCCTGCGTGCTCGCTCACTGTGAGAGAAAAGTGCTACCATTTAGACTAATTCCGCGTTCGTAGGTAGTCTGAATGGTAGCACTTATCAAAACTAATCATTTTTTGAAAGGCTGCCGATGGCTTCTTCTTCCGTGGGTTGCTTACAAGTAAGATGATGAGAGGAAAGAGAAGGATTGGGGGTTCCCAAATGATCATCTCTTCGGGAGTTGACGGGAGGGGGAAGGCTAGCGGTCAGTTACTTCCGGATGAGTCGCTACAGCTGCAGTATAAATAAGTGGTTGTTACCTCTATAAAATATTATAGGGACGGAGGCAAAAGAAGAAGAAATTACCATTATCAACAGGCGAAGAGATAGAAGTCGATCTGTCGAATATAGATCCCGATTCGCCAGTCCTCTGGATCAGGTATCAAGCGAGAACGAAGATTTCGTAATAGAAAACCCCTTTTTCTGATTACTATCCTGTTTCTTTTAAAGGTTTGATCCGGAGCTGTTACTATTACGAAAAACCACTATTCGACAGCCACTTTATCAATGGGAATATATGCTGAGATACGAGCGGGATGTGTTGGCGCAGCTTGATGCACTGGATATTCTGAAACGTTTTCCGAGTCCTCATATAAGAACGATTTTGATAGATTCGGTCGAAAATGAAGCATTCTATTACCGGTGAGCGGGTCTTGGAAGTTATTCTTCTGGAATTAACTTGCATCTGTAGATTCTCGGATTTCAACTGCAGTGGATGCATTTGAGCTGACTTGATAAAGTAAGAACTGAAGTTAAAATTGGAGTTAAAGTAGAGGAAGAATAGGAATGAGAAAGAGGGTAGAAAGAGATAGGACGGAAACAGAAAGATTTGTAGTTCAAAGGATGTGTAGATATTCATAATCTGTACCTGTTCTAATCTTCCATTGAAATTAGGGTACGCTGTCGAGCTTCATTTATTCTGGCTGAAGTTATTAATAAATTACCGGAAACATGGATTGGCTTACCGCCGTTGATAGTTACTTTCAAGCGATATTATGGTTCCAAATCAGCGCCGCATATTCCGAAGCCGAATAATTTCGTGGCCACTTCTACAAATCTTCAGTCGTACTTCATGATGCATGTAGGTTACTTTGTCTTTCTGATTACATGATTGTGTTAAATTGTAAAATGCGAAATCTCTTAGCGGATATCGCACACTAGAAATTTTTAGCGGACTTCGCACTAGATACTTAGGGAAAAAGAAAAGGCGAGCATTCTCCCACTGGGCTGCCGATGCCTTCCTCCCATCCTCCAACACGTAAAGGAGCCACTTCCCCAAATCTTGCGAACGGAGTCACTTTTGAGAACGGTTGTTGGACTGGAAAAGAATCGAACCACTCGTCTTAAAATTCGGTTGCGATGCACCAGATCACTGCCCCGCGGGTTTCTGTACCCCATGCACCTGCTGGAGAGCACCTATATTCTGTATGTATGGTAGCCCTGTACATACTCCGTATTCTCTGTCCTTCAACAACTGCAGGTTTTTCACGGGACTCTCGCCGGCAGTTAGATACTGCTCGTAACTTCTGTTTTTTGTAGACATTGCCCCAGGCGTTGGCACGACTACGTACCCTACACAACAAAGTGCTCCCGGAAGCACATCAGTTCTTGATGGGATTATGCAAATATAACGATAATTCGATCAACAGGTTATCAGAATTTTTTCTCTCAGAAGTTTTTTTGAACTTTTTATTTTCTTTTTATTAGTTTTGACAAGTTTTACAAGTTCTTTTTTTTTGATTTTTAAGATTCTCGACTTTTTTGAGATTATTTTTGATTTTTGTTTAGGTTTTTATTGCTTTTTTAGCTGGGACATAGCTGATTTTGGGAGAGGCAAAAGAAGACTTTTTGAATAGTATTTTATTTTTTTTTTTTTTTTTGAATATGAGGACATGTAAAGGAATTACGAGAATTTTTCGTGGTTGAGAGATAGCCAAAGTTGTTCGTTCGGCTGAGCTTCTTTTATTGGTTAATTTCTATCATCTGATTTTATCACTGATATCACCACGATCTGTCCAAGTTCGTTGCTGGATTTCAGGTATTCAGATGATCATTATCGAGCTTCACTGATAAGTGCATTAGCGGGGACACTGATACCGATGGAAAGCAGAGATATTTCGAATATGAGTCCTCTTTCGTTGAGCAGTGATCTAAAAGAATTGCTATCAGAGTTTACGTTAGCTTTAAATATGGACACGCTGAAGCCTAGTTTTGGACGTGTTGTCGGAATTAGTGCTCTTCAAGCGATTTACCACGTGAGTATTATCAAGCAAGTCACTTTTCTTCTACCTTTTTGTTTACCGACGAAAAAAGTGGCTAGAATGAGTAAAACTTAAGACAGTTACCGAAGGGGTTGGGATTTGCTTACGCTTACTTCAAATGCTGATGGTTCTGAATTTTTCGGTACGATTCATGGTGTGAGGGACGAATGTAGTAAGCTGAGCAGCAGATGGAAAAAATGCTGTTTCGACCGCAGCATCGGTCCACCTATTGGTGTATTATCAACGTTTTCCTCTTTTGAGATTCACTTATGTGAATATAGATGTTTTTAAGTCGCAATATAGTTTTATATATCAGTAATCAGTTTCAGATGCAACGAACATTTCACATTCCTCTCGACCCGAAGGTATTTTGGGCTTTTGCACAACCGAAAATATACACTCCGGTAAAATTATTTTTTAGCTGTTTCAGTATACAGAAATATGTTCTTAAGATTCAAGACGAAAAAATGTTGGATCAGATTTTTAGTCGGTGTGGGGAGTGTCGTTGGACTGCTAATCCCTTCAGAAGATGAAACGGATGTTAATAGGCTAACGAACAGGCGGTGCAGCTCAGTGTGGGTTAAATTGCTTTGGCTAAGTTAAGACTGTGTGTGTTGCTGACAGACGGAAAAAAACCGTCTAAGAAGCCGCTACAAAGAAGAAAGTGGAGAAAAAAAGGTATATCTTCCCTGCCATAAAAGGCAGATACACAGCAAATGTGCTGCCAGGCTGAACGTGGAGTACAAGGGCTATGGTGTAGTGGTAACATGTTGCGTCTGGAGGTGAAGAGGAATGGTTCGATTCCCTCCCGGTCCAGGACAATTTTTGAGAAGGCTTCGTTCACGACACAGTTGGTCTGAACACTGTTTTCAGTTTACCGTCCTCTTCTTTACCTTCACCGTTCTCGTTTATTCCTCAGTTCTTCCATTTAGTTCACACTCATGTAAGCATTTGGTCACTGTCAGTCTAATTTTCAAAGATTAATTTCTTACTTAACACAGCCTTTAATTTTTCTTTCTATGCTAGTCAAAACTAATTGTCCCACTAAGAGTGACCAAGAAAAAACTGTGAGTCTTTCGGAAAGTGACCCAGATGCCTTTTGCGTTTCACTGCCACGTTGAGAAATATTTTGTTTTGCAGATGCGCCTCGCTGCACTGACGTTTTTAATAGATATGGTATATCGTTTCAAGTCATTTCCGTTTATCAGTGATGTTATCAGCAGACTGATAGATGTGAGTATCAAAGATGAGGAACCAGCTGTACGATACTATGTTACAACTCAGTTATCGCTGAAACCCCCGCTATGTCTCATTTTAGGGTACGTGTTTTTTTTT